TTATACGGATCTGCAGATAAATGTTTAGTCTTCTCAAGCACCAACTATCAAATATCTCTCCTGATTGTTGGCACTTGACAATCACCTTCCCTGAATTTTACTCAGGTGTAACTAAAGTCTGATTTAAGGGTTGTTTATATTTCACATCATTAATCCAAATCTGTAAAGTAACTAAAATAAATGTAGTGGAGTAAAAACACCACGTTAACCTTAAAGAAAGCCCTCAGGATTATAAAAGACCCCCATCACCCCAGCCACAAACTGTTCTGTCTGCTGCCGTCTGGCAGGCAGTACCGCAGCATCCAGACTAAAACCACCAGACTCAGGGAGAGCTTCATCCCACAGGCCATAAGACTATTAAACACCTGATCTTTGAAACAACATCCATAACATTCATCTGGCTGCTACATAGAAATTATTTATCTAATATATCATATTCACAATGTTGTGACTGCTTTTTTGTCTTTTGTTTTCTTAGTTATGTTCTCTTTTATATGTGTGTGTTATGTGTTATGTGTAACGTTGCTGCCTTCTTGGCCAGGTCAGCATTGAAAATGAGATTGTATCTCAATGCTTCTATCTGGTTAAATAACTTTAACTAATAATAACTAACAAGTGATTGGAATCAAAAAGATTCCAATAACTTGTATATAGACTCTTATTGCACTATTTCACTATTTTTTCTGTGTATCTGTTTTATTGTGTTGCACTGTTGGAGGAGCCTGCGACCTAAGAGGGGGGGGGGGATAGGACACGTTCGATTTCTGTTTTGAATAGTGTGCCGTCGATGGGTTTCATTCCATTTCAAGGTGCTTTTTGACGCTCCGTGTAAACTTCGCGCACTGCCACTCCAACATCCAATCACAGAGCTTGAGGACTGATCACGGGGTTTGTCAAGCTAAGCACATGGTGTAGTCCCAAACGATAGCTGAGGATTCTGGGTAGTGTAGTGTCTTCTGCCATCCAAAAACTCCGAAAAAATATTCGTTTCTCCGAATCGAAGGGGACAAATACAAAAGCATTTTGAACATTTTAAACCAATCAATGTTGTGTAATTAACAAGGATCATTTGGTGTTTTTGAGTTGATGAGTAGTTCAGATATCACTGTAAAATCAATCGACAGTAAGGAGAATACTTACTTCCGGGTGTAAAATTCTCCGTTATCGCTCGTAATACAATAAAGGGGACATGATCATTATCTTTTAAATAACGTTAACTAAAGGGAACAATCTATTTGACACAGCTGAAGCTCTGGCCTTCCTTAAAAACTAACTAATTTAATAAAAACCACAGTTGTATTACACACAATGCACTAACAAAAATTCGTAACTAATATAATTTTTACATTCTGACGAAAAATAAAAATGATTATGAATACAAATAAAATAAAAGAAGCCTCCCGTGAGTTACTACAAGCTATATAGTAGATTTTAAAAACGTTTTATAGAATAAAAGCTCACTGCGGGACGTTGTAGAAATGCGTGTGTGCACCACGACAAAAGAGCCTCATTCACTTTACATTGGGGTTTTTTGCGTGGTGCTGACACGTAAATGTAGCAGAATGCGTGACTCTGTCACGCAATGCGGTGTTAAGGAGTCGTGGTGGAGTCACGCATTCTGGTGAGATCAGGTTGCCAGCAGCCATGGTTCAGGCCCTGGTTCCGGCCCCAGCAGCCATGGTCCCGACTCCGGTTTCAGTTCCAGTACTGGCTCTTCGGCCGACGCCAGCACCCTGTGTCCTGTCGGCGTACTGGCCGACTCCGGCTCCTCGTCACCTGTTGGCTCTCCGGCCGACGCCAGCTCCTGGTGTCCTGTCGGCGTACCAGCCGACTCCAGCTCCCCATCTCCGGTTGGCTCTACGGCCGACGTCAACCCCCCGTGTCCTGCTGGCGTACCGACCGACACAAGTCCCCTCTTGAGTCCCTTTCCAAGTCCCTACTCAAGTCCCCTCTCGAGTCTCCTCTCGAGTCTCCTCTCAAGTTCCTTCTCAGGTCCCCTCTCGAGTCCCCTCTCAAGTCACCTCTCAAGTCCCCTCTCGAGTCCCCTCTCAAGTCACCTCTCGAGTTCCCTCTCAAGTCACCTCTCAAGTCTCCTCTCGAGTTCCCTCTCAAATCTCCTCTCGAGTCCCCTCTCGAGTTCCCTTTCAAGTCACCTCTCAAGTCCCCTCTCAAGTCACCTCTCGAGTCTCCTCTCGAGTTCCCTCTCAAGTCTCCTCTCGAGTCTCCTCTTGAGTCCCCTCTCAAGTTCCTTCTCAGGTCCCCTCTCGAGTCTCTTTTCGAGTCCCCTTTCAAGTCACCTCTCGAGTCCCCTCTCGAGTCTCCTCTCGAGTCCCCTCTCGAGTTCTTTCTCAGGTCCCCTCTCGAGTCACCTCTCTAGTCTCCTCTCGAGTTCCCTCTCGAGTCTCCTCTCGAGTCACCTCTCGAGTTCCCTCTCAAGTCCCATCTCGTGTCCCTTCTCTAGTCCCTACTCGAGTCTCTACTCTATGTCCTGTGCCGTTGGGAGACCCGCTGACTACTGTTCTGCCGGGGGTCCTGCCAACTCCATGTCCTGTTCCGTTGGGGGGTCCCGCCGTCACCTGTCTTGCCGAGGGTCCTGCCAACTCCATGTCCTGTTTCGTTGGGGGTTCCGCTGAGGGTCCTGCCAACTCTGTGTCCTGTCCTGTTGGGGGTCCCGCCGACTACTGTTCTGCCGGGGGTCCTGCCAACCCCATGTCCTGTTCCGCTGGGAGTCCTGCCAACTCCGTGCCCTGACCTGTTGGGGGTCCCGCCGACACCTGTCCCGCCAGGGGTCCTGCCGGGGGTCCTGCCGGGGGTCCTGCCGGGGGTCCTGCCGGGGGTCCCGCCAACACCTGTTTCGTTGGGGGTCCAGTCGACACCTGCTCCGCCGGATTTCCTGTCAACAACAGATCCTGTCATGTTGGGGTTCCCTCCAACACCTGCTGTGCCAGATTTCATGCCAACACCAGATCCTGTTCTGTTGGGGGTCCCACCGACACCTGCTCCGCCGGGTTTCCTGCCAACACCAGATCCTGTCCTGTTGGGGGTCCCGCCGATACCTGCTCCGCCGGGTTTCCTGCCAACACCATATCCTGTCCTGTTGGGGGTCCCGCCGACACGTGCTCCGCCGGGTTTCCTGCCAACACCATATCCTGTCCTGTTGGGGGTCCTGCCGACACGTGCTCCGCCGGGTTTCCTGCCAACACCATATCCTGTCCAGTTGGGGGTCCCGCCGACACTTGCTACGCTGCCGACACCAGCCCTTGTTTCATCGGGAACACCTGTCCCGGCAACACCGGTGATTATCCCGCTGACACCAGCCCATGTTCCGTCCAGGGTCCCGTCTACGCCTGACCCGCCAGGGGTTCCACCAGCTCCTGCTCTCGATCCCAGTGCTCTGGAGATCCAGCTGACAATGGACGGGTCCCATCGCGGCCTACGGCGTCTTCCTGCCCGTCCTCCGGAGCTGTCCTAGCGCTGCCTTCCTGCCCGTCCTCCGGAGCTGTCCCATCGCCGCCTTCTTGCCGCGGCCTTCGCCCTCGAGCCCGGCCCCCTGAGTGCCACGGCCTTCGCCCTTGAGCCCGGCCCCCTGAGTGCCGTGGCCTTCGCCCTCGAGCTCGGCCCCCTGAGTTCCCCAGCCGCTGCCTTCGCCCTCATGCCCGGCCCCCCTGAGTTCGCCCGCTGTGGCCTTCGCCCCTTTTTGGCCTCTGCTTTGCCCCCGGGCCGTCCGCCGAGTCCCCCTTCTCGGCCTCTGCTTTGCCCCCGGGCAGTCCGCCCGAGTCCCCCTTCTCGGCCTCTGCTTTCCCCCCGGGCCGTCCGCCCGAGTCCCCCTTCTCGGCTTCTGCTTTTCCCCGGGATGTCCGTCCGAGAATTAGTTTGATTGAAAATGATTAGTTTGTGTGCATTTAAGTTCTGGTTTTTCTGTCTGTCTTTGTGAGATTATTGATGTTGTTGGAAGGTTTTTTTTGTTCAGAAGGATTTTTGTGTTTTTGCCTTGCTTTATTTTACTTTGTTGCTAGCTTTGCAATAAAAGTATTTTGAATTTGGATATTCTGCATTTGGGTCCTGTGTACCTTGCCCTCCAGCCGTGACAATTCAACCTAATATGGAGATCTCAACAACGGCTACCGGCTTCGTTAGCTGATACTGGTTTTGGGTAATCCTGTAATTGAGAATTACCATCTTAACGTAGATTGTTAAACAGCTAGTTTAGCCACAGTGGCTGCATTACGAGTCGTGTTGTGTAGCCATTAACAAGCCAGTTAGCTTCGTCTAAACTCTAAGTCATGAAACTCTAAGTTTTGTTTGATATACTTTGACATAAGGAGGCTCTCACCTTTGTTTCTGCCAGCTTAATGTTTATGGACGTAACAGTTTCAGTACAGCCGCCTAGCATTGGTTAGATAGCGGTTAGTCAAAACAAAGCCTGTGATTCGCTGAAAGCAAATCAATCACAAACAAACGGGCTGTCTGATTGGTGTAATCTATGACGAGAGATTGAGTTTGACTGAAAAACACTAGTAGTTTATAATGAATACAACATTAATAAACTGAAAATATCCTAATATATTATTACTGCTATTGTTTATATAATATTTTATTATTTTGTATATGTTCAAACATCATATTTGATTTTTTATTGCACATTTTTACTCCTCACGTCAGATAATATATTTCTGTCTATTTTATTTCCGTCTATTTTCTTCATTCTAAAAAACTCACAGTTCATTTACTTTTTTCTTATAAAAGTTTCATACTTCCATCTTTTCAAAGTATGTATGTATGTAAAATGTAAATGTAAAACCTTTGAAATATGTTTTATTTATTTTCATATATATTTTTCATAATTTTATTTTTGGTGGCTTTTTCTTCAAGCACTGTCGGTCTGTATATGGTTTTAATGTTGTGTAATGTCAAGGAATGTATTTGTTACATTCACAAGTAAAGATAGAAGAGAGTGTTGAAACTATTTGAAAAAAAACACAGACACTCAGGAAAAAGAATTACATTAAAATTATTAAGATTGTTATTTGACTAAATTGCATCTATAATATACAAACATTCACAATATTTTGTACAATCACTTTGTGCTTCTCCCGGGAAAAGGGAATTGTTAGACAACAAGTTTACATTAACTTTCTATATATTTTGTCCATGAAAAAACACAGCATAAAAAATGTATTCATACTCAACACCATTATAATTTCTAAATCTATCATTTACAAATGCACTTTAAAAAAGAATCATATGAAGACAATGTCAATATTAGTAATTTTTTTTTTCATATCAATATGAAGACACATGGGAGTTACACACAAAACGTGGCAGCTATATAACAATTTGGCAGGCTATTGTTTTTTTCCAATCTTCAATATTTAATAATAAATGCTTACATATTTGTCTTCTTGTCTTCCCTTTTGTCATGGAATTCATTGTGAACAAACACGTACTGTATCTCAGCTGACATGACATGTTAAAAATGTCACACTTCCATCAAAGATACTGTACACAAACACAAAAAACCCTTACAAATGAACACTCAATAACTACCATGATAAACATATGCACCACGATGTTGGCTCTAATATCACATACACACCGCTCTCTCACACGCAAAAAGTTCTGTCTATGGGGGAAAAAAGAACCATGTACCTGCTCACATGTGTATAAAACACTCAGTATGGTGCTGTATTGTGCTATTGGCTGCAGTGCCCAACCTCATCTGGGTTGTTAATGTATTTTTGTGCTATTTGTGCTATGTGTGCTACCTCTGGAAAACAGTAGAAAACTATGAAGTAATTTTGTGTCTCTGTGTAGTTGTTTGATAATAATAATAATAGATAACATTTGTATGGCGCGTTTCAAGGGACCCAAGGCCGCTTTACACAGTGAACAAACAAACAAACAAAAGGGGCAAATCATAACGTAAACAATAAAATAAATAGCAGTAGGAGTGGAAGCAGGGGGACTGTGATGGGTTAGGGGTCAATGGCCATGGTGAACCGGTGAGTTTTTAATGATGACTTGAAGATGGCCAGGGAAGCAGCATTGCGGATCTCTGCAGGATGTACATTCCAGATGGTGGGGGCCGCAACACTGAACGCCCTGTCACCAGCGGGTGAATGGAGAGACTTGTAAGTGAGGAGGAGTGTTTTGTACTGAATCCAGGACTTGACCGGCAGCCAGTGAAGATGGAGGAGGGTGGGGGTGATGTGTTGCCAGGGCTTGGTGCAGGTGAGAAGCCTGGCGGCAGAGTTCTGGACGTATTGGAGCCTCTCCAGGGCTTTGCTGGGAAACCCGGACAGGACTCCATTGCAATAGTTGAGGCGGGAGGTGATGAAAGCGTGTATTAGCGTTTCTGCCACAGAGTCAGAGAGTGAAGGCCGGAGTCTGGAAATATTTTTGAGGTGGTAGAAAGCCGATTTAGTGACAGATTTTATGTGCGCCTGGAAGGAGAGGGTGGTGTCCAGGATGACTCCCAGGTTGCGGACTTCAGTGGACGGAGAAATGGAGCACCCGTCAGGAGCAGGTCTCCAACCTTCCGGAGCTGCGCCTTGGGAGCCACAATCATGAGCTCTGTTTTTATTGTTGTTTAGTTTGAGCAGGTTTGATGACATCCAGTTTTTTATGTCCTGTAGGCAGTTGACAAGGGATTGAGGGGGGAGCTGAGTGGACGGTTTGGTGCAGAGATAGAGCTGTGTGTCATCAGCGTATGAATGAAAGCTGAGACCAAGTGGGAGCATGTAAATGGTGAAGAGGAGGGGTCCAAGCACAGAGCCTTGAGGTACACCTTTTGATGTACTATTAACAAAGGTTTCTAGGGAGTTGGTCTTATCTGTAATTAGGATCTGAAAGTAGTTTGTGTCTTATAATGTGCAGATTTTGAAGCTCCTTGAGAAAAAAAAATTCTGGGCTTCCTGACTAGAATATTTGGTCAAGGCATAATTTATAGACATGTTTTACTTTTTGCTTTTTTTTAAAAGCAAAAAGTAAAACATGTCTATAAATTATGCCCACAGGGCACCATTAGACTTGTCTTGAATTTGACCGAGTCCTCTAATGATTTGGGCTGCAGGCCGACCCGGAAATATGCATTGGTGGTGTAGCCCTAAATTGTCTTTCAAGCCAAAAATAGCGCAAAGTAAGACCAGAAACAGTTGGTTAGGCTATGGGCATATTGTATTTGTGTGGACTCACTATTAGTAGCTATCTTTAAAGTAGCCTCACATAAAATACATATTGTTTTCACACACACACATGTAAATAATATGTACACATGACCAAATATGTATATATGTTCAATTTAATTCATTTCTTATTTTATAGTTATTTACCATTTTTTATTTGTATCTTTGATTTTATCCTTAATTGTATTAATCTGTGTGAACCTGTGCTGTCCTGTTTTCCAATCTTACCCTGTTGTTGTTAAACTACTGAATTTCCCCACAGGGATTAATAAAGCTCCTTCTTTTCTTATCTAATCTTATGTAATGTTAGGATAGGTGACACCCAGATGAACGACTATGACCTGTAAACTTGTGAACATGAGCAGTTTTGGTGGTGAGTTTATTGTTGTGCTACACTTTGAGAGGAGAGGCTGTGCTTACCTTTGGACCCTGCTTTCAGCTCTGCTCACCAGTGCACTTTTTGTATGAATCTAAAATGAAGCACTTCACTCAACCAATTATGAGGCAGTGTGTGCACTAGACAGGTATATGTCTCAAAAATGTACAAAACCAGAATTACTGGTGCTTTCAACTGGAACTTACCAATGTCAGATAACTGGAGGTAATTTAATTATATTTTCAAATGAGTCTACTCATTATCTCTATGGAATTGTGGTCCTTTTGTCACATTATCTCCCTAATTGTATCCTCCTCTGTCAGACTACAACCCATTCCATAGTGGAGAAATCGTTTCTTGTCCCTCAAATTAAATAAAAAAATGTAACGTACACTTTAACTCGTTATCTTCTGAGCAGGCTTTTACTCTCCTATTTGCACAAAATCTTCTGTTACCTAGCTTGGCTCTAAAACTTTTCTAATGCCACATTTAATTTTATTGGGAACACACTGCTACACTCACTCCTTCTCTTGCAAAAATTGACCAACCTTGGGGACAAGAACAGGATTAAACTTGTAATATAAATCCCAGGAGTCAAAGTGATTATTGATTGCTCACAGACATGTATTGAAGCAGGGAGAGTGAGTTGAGGAATGGTATAATATTTAAGTAGTATTTTTCTTTTTTCAAAAGCTTATGGGGGGAAGCAGACAAGGCAACAGCAGAGGGATGTATGGATGAACGGATGGACGATCAGCAGCACTTCTGAGGTAACTGGGCGGGCTTGTCGGCCAGTCTGGTAGTCTTGGTGCCAGGAGCGGCCGGCATCTCTACGTCCACGCGCTCTGACATCTTTACACAGATGATGTCCACCAGGCGCTCGAAGACCTGCTGCACATTGATGTTCTCCTTGGCGCTTGCCTCGTAGTACTCAAAGCCTGCAAAAGGAAACAGAAGGTTGAAACATTTGAGTGAATTCATGCAAATTGTTTGCAGGCTGATGTATATATATTTCAAGTAGTAGTTCAAAAACTGTCAGAATCCGAATCAGTGGGAATTGACAAACTGTCTGATTTGGGTTTCATAAACAGTGACCTGATACATGGGGCAAAACCAAAGAGGGAATATACATTTTTGTTTTCATGACGTTGACAACATATGAAAGAAAAAACTAAACGGCTTTATAATTTTATATTTAAAAGAAAAACTGGGCTAAACTGCTTATGTAAAATAAACTGGTACAGGAAAATCAGTTGAACTGGACAATTTTGTCACAGTTTTTCTGACATGCATGTGAGATTAATACTGGATAGTATAGAATTAAGAATCTCTAACTCCCCTTTCCTTGTGCAATGGCCTACACATTTAAGACTGTTTTTCTACTAAACTTGAGGTGTGGTTTTATCTATCTGAGCATCTCAAAGTGTGTTGGCTATATTCAGATTCTTCTTCCTACTTTAAAATATCCATTTGTAACCTGGGATACCAAATGTTTGAAATGTAATCTGTTGCTGCTCACAAAACCCTTTGGCAAAAGGCAATACATTGTTATTATAAAGGTTTTCATCACCACACACCCCAGAGTGAAAGCATTTTCTACTACAGTTCACACTAGTTTAGCCGCTCTTTATTACAACACATGGATTTGTCTTCAACATATGCAATTTTAGGCAATGTAAGGGGGATCAGATTGAGATTGGAGAATATCATGAATTGGGAAAATAATATTATATCGTTTAATAATAATAAAGCATACATTTGATGAGAAATTAAAAGCTGCTTTGTGTCCGAAATCAACTCCTCACTTATAATGTAGTTAGTTAATATTATCACAAATCAAAACTTTAAATTTCCTATTTATTATAGGGCATATGATCGTTGAAAACGAGTCTGATGGATATTCTAGAATTAATAGCGATAAAAAAACGTTTCAAATTAAAAACAGATTTTTATTAAATGTTGTATTTACAACGTTTAATACAAATCTGTTCTTAATTTGAAATGTTTTTTTTATCAAACTAAACCCTGTTTTTGATACATTATCCTGTTTATTTTTTTCCCTGTTGAGAAACATTGAGGGAGATTTTAAAACAAAAACTTAGTACCAGTGAATGCTAACACTTTACAGCTTGAGTAAGGTAAGTTAATATGAAACTCCCTCTTGAAGCCAACATTGAGTACTGTTGTATAGAGTGGTGCATTGACGAGTCCTAAAACCCGGAAGTGAGTCAGCATTTCACCATTACGGGTTCCCTCGTCTCAGAGCCAATGGGATTTCTCCATAGGATTTTGGAAAATATCTGGAAATAAGGTCTGTGGTCGACACAAATTTAAGAAACGGATCACGTTTTGTTCTACGACATTAAATACATCAGCAGTGACCCCACTTGTAATTTTTGAAGAGTTTACGTGTCTGAAAAACGATGGTTGTTAACAAGTGGCTGAATAGGACTACAGAAGTTGTCGAGGACGTTGTACGTCATTACGCCGAACACATAAACACTCCCGCTAAGTTTGTTTGCCCCTGTTCTGCTTGAAAGCAAGTACCTGCACTGCAAACTGTTAAAACAAACATTTCAACTTGTACAGTTTTGAATCCGTATTTTTGAATCTTAAGTTGGTGTGACGTTGAAGTCGTGCGACCCTGCTGTACTCTGCTGTAGTTCGTTTATAGCATAACGTTAGCATTTTGCTTCTGGCGATTATATATATGATTATAAAATTATAAAAGTAGGGTAGACATGTGGAGATTATTCTGCTGAACAAAACATGCATTTTTATTTCCGGGTCGGCCAACAAAAATATGTCATCACTGCACCACTCTATAAAGATACTAAGTAACACTCATGCGGCAACATCTCACCTAACTGGTCTGCAAGGTGTTTTCCCTTCTCTGCAGGTATGATTCTCTCCTCGTCCATGTCACACTTGTTACCCACCATGATCACCTGGGCATTATCCCATGAGTACGTCTTAATCTGGGTCGCCCTGTAAGTACATTTTAAATTAGTTATTTTGATAATCAAACACACAGAAACAGCATGCAGACAAGCTTCCAGGACAATCACTTACCAGTCCTGGACGGCGTTGAAGGACTCCTCATTGGTTATGTCATACATTAGTATAAAGCCCATGGCGCCACGGTAGTAGGCAGTGGTGATGGTGCGGTAACGCTCCTGACCTGCCGTGTCCTGAAAACAAAAAAAAGACAGCCGATCAGACACAATCAGATTTACTTCTAAAGCTGCATTCACATGATTCACAATTTTGTCTTTGCTCACCAAGATGTTGGGCACTATTTTCAACTGTTTTGGTGTAAACAGCTAGCTAAGTTTTGTCAGCCTCTCCAGAAATGACTGACCCAACTGTGCTTCACCCTAAAACTCCTTATCGGGAAATCTGCATCCTACTGCTTATAAATGTGGTGGAAGTGTGTGCTGTTTTTGAAAGTGGTGCACAGATAAATGTATGGTCTCTGTGTCACTACAAGCTTTTCTCCCAGAGGTCCTGCCTCCTTTCCAGCCATCAGTTGTGACATTTGTGGTTGGTATTGGGCTGGACACAAACCTGTGATCGTTGATCCCTGTCCAGATAAACATCACCAAGTGATCATACACTTCCTGGTTGCAAACATAGCTTCAGAGGAGGCCCTGCTAGGCCATCTAACTGTTCTATTCCAAAGCAAACCCAGAGTACGGTTCTAATCGCATGGGGCAGTTTGGCAAAGAGGTACTATTTTTCCAGTCACAAAGCAAGCCACTATCATGAGAAGTGAGAGTAGATCAACCGGTTTTAGTGGAGCCAGGGCCGGAGTACATAGTACCAGGCCTCACTAGTTTAAAAGAACAAATTAAAGGGGAAGTATTGCTTAGCCCCACCCAGGGTTTTGTTGAAAAACTGAAACTGCTGGTAGCCCAATACCTTGTGGAAACTCAATGCTCTAAGACTGTGCCCCTACGCAGCTTCAATCCCGTTAACGTTCCCATAACTATCAAGAAGGGGGCAGTTGCAGGTTTTCTTTAACCTGCCTAGGCTGTACAGCCTGAAGACACTACAGTCCAGCCAGGGCAGACTATAATTGAACCTCCCATGGTCCATAGTAAGAGAAACAAGTAAGTGCCAACAAGCAGATACAAAATAGCCTGGAGGCAGGACTGGCTCTCCGCAGTCACAGCAGCTGGACGTTGCCTATGGTGATGGTCTGCGAAAAGGATATATATAGGATACGTAACCATTATATATTACCCCACATCCAAGACACAATAATAATATATTGGGAGGGATGAAACCCTCTTTAATGGTTACACATGCAGAGCGTACAGCACACACAGTGAAATGTGTTCTCTGCATTTAACCCATCCTAATACCAGGAGTCTAGTACTAGGAGCAGTGGGAGTGGGGGGGGGGGGGTTGTCTGGTGCCTTGCTCAAGGGCACCACAGCAGGGCAGGAGGTGAACTGGCACTGGTAAATTATGGAAAAATCTACCTGACTATGACCAACAACACTACTGACCTATTCTGCTGCTAGAGTCCATAGGAACTGCGGAAAGCTAAGGAGACTGATCCAGATATTGGCCCTATCAGGACATGGATGGAGGCCAGCAGCGCGCACTTACCATGGGTAACAGTCTCCCCATGCAGTCCAGCAAATAAGACACATTTGAGCCAGTGGATACGTTCTTTTTTGGCAAACTGTAGTTCTACTGCTTAGACAACACAGTTTAATTCACAAGTTGTGCTGCCTCACGTCTACCACCCAGATATCATGAAACAAATACCTGGGCAAATAGGCTGACATTTTGGTGAGGAGCGCACAATGGCTCGGCTACAGACCAGAATTTTGCTCTCTAACTGTAGCACCTGTACTAGCTCGCATCCAAAGCCAGGCACCTCAAGACGACAAAAGCCTCCATAGGCACTGTCAGAGTAGGAGCCATCATGGAGCGTCATCTGCCCTCACCACGCGTGTAGATGCATGGCTATGCAGCGAGCTAAACACTCTCCCAAAAATGACCGAGACAGGAGCTGACGTTTGGTATTTTAATAGGAGCGGTGTGAAACTGAAATGATACAAACAAAGACATGTATAAGTATCTAACAACAACAAAATATAATGTACTTTTCCCCAAAAATAAACCAAATGCACTCCAACATCCAATAAGGGGCAATTACTACTCATGCAGCAACATGGCTTAACTACATATGCTGAATTTAGATAAATGTTACATGAGATGCAAAAATATAAGTAGCACATTATACAAAAATGTTTCCCTAAACAAATGTATTCACAGATTATGCCTTCTCAAGGGTGAAAATAACCGGATGGAGACAGATAGAGTCAGGGACCTGTTCCCCATGCGGCTCTCAAACAAAATGGCAGAACAGAAGCCTAACACAGACGTTTTACTAGGAACGCACTTGCCTGTCCCTAGAGGCCACTAAAGATATAGCAGTCAAGGAGATAGATGTCAGTCATTAGAATGACAGAACACTCCCCGCCTGGCATCTGTAAGATGTCAACACTAACTAGAAACTGAGAAAGGAGTGTTAGGTTTGATGCACTGTAGTAGCTCACTTCACAGTGACTTATTAGTGTCCTTTTGTAAGAGAAGGACTGTCTCCGAGATAGGTCTGAGAAACAGCTTTGTTGTACCGTCCTTGACAATCTTCACCTCAACCTTCCTAACTTTCCCATCGTCACTGGGAAAGGTCTTTGTAACTAGCCCGACCGGCCAGCTGTTCCTCTGAACTTGGTTGTCCCGTAGCAAGACGACATCCCCCTCTTGCACGTTAGGCCTTTCGTTCCTCCAAATGCGTCGACCTTGGAGATTGCTGATATATTCTCGTCTCCACCGTTCCCAGAAAGTGTTTGCCAACTCTGAACCTGTCTCCACTGACGCCTATAAAGGTCACTTTCACCGAACTGGCCTGGAGGTGAAGGATGTGTGCCGAATTTCTGGGTAAGGAGAGTGGCTGGAGTGAGAATGAGTGGGTTCTCTGGGTCCGTAGAGACCGAGGTTAACGGCCTGGCGTTGACTATTGCTGTTACCTCTGCCATGAGTGTAGTTAGCACTTCATGCGTCAGTTTTGCAGTGCCAAGTTTGAGCAGCATAGCATCTAGGACACGACGTATGACCCCAATCATTCGTTCCCAGCTGCCACCCATGTGTGAGGAGTGTGGAGGGTTAAACTGCCATGTGCACCCCTGTTCTGTCAGATAGTTCTCAATCCGATCGTTGTTGCATCCTTTGGAGTCAATTTGGAGTTCTTTGCAGGCTCCCACAAAATTGGTTCCGCAGTCTGATCTGAACTGCTTCACAGTGCCCCTGATGGCAAGGAAGCGTCTTAAAGCATTAATGAAGCTGGAAGAATCCATCGATTCCAGCACCTCAATGTGTATTGCTCGTGAGCTCATGCACACAAAGACAACCGCCCACCGCTAGCTGTTGGCTTGACCTCCGCGTGTTCTTCGTGCACTGACAGACCAAGGTCCAAACACGTCGAGCCCTACATAAGTGAAGGGCGGGTCTGTGCTTAAGCGATCGGCCAGCAGATCAGCCATCTTCTGCTCCTGCTGCCTCCCACGTAACTTGCGGCAGGTTACACAGTTGTAGATAGTGCTGCTGATGGATCGTTTTCCTCCAACGACCCAAAATCTGGCTGCCCTCACGGCTCCTTCTGTGAAGTGCCGACCTTGGTGATGAACTTGCTCGTGAAAGTGTCTAATTAATAGTGTGGCAACATGATGTCTACCAGGAACAAGTACTGGGTGAGATTCGTCAGAGGTTATTCTTGCCTTTTCCAGACGACCACCAATGCGTAGGAGACCATGTGAGTCCATGAAGGGGCAAAGTTTGCTGAGTGAACTCTGTCTTGGAATAGGCTTTCCATCCTTGATGCAACTGATCTCCTCTTCATACACTTTGCTTTGAACAGCGAGGATGATGGTAGCTTTGGCTTGGTCAAGTTGCTCCTTAGTTAGAGGCCTTTTGCAGGTGTGCCATCCATGGCAAGTACTGTCTTTGTAAACTTGAGTGAATGAGTGAGCAATGTGGGAAAGCAGAGAAATGGCTCTTGAGAGATCTCCAACTGGAAAACCGCTCAAAGCGTGCACGGCTGAGCTTATTGTCTGAAAGACGAGTGGTGCAGACAGTGACTTCTGGTCGTACCTCAACATCTGTTCCAGCATTGATGAGGTCAAAGGCTTCTTTGTCTGGTTGATAAGGTTGTGGATCGGTCAGAAAGGTGGGTTCAACCAGCCATGAAGACAGAGCAAGCTGACTAGCTGGGATACCTCTTGAAGCCTGGTCAGCTGGGTTTAGCTCGGAAGGAACGTAGTTCCACTGGCTAGCTTGTGTAGACCGCCTGATGCGCTGTACTCGGTTGTGGACGTACACGTAGAATCGTCTTGATTCGTTTGAAATGTAGCCGAGCACCACCTTACTATCAGAGAAGAACTTGACGTCATCTAATTTAGTGTCCAACTCCTCAAGAATGACCTCTGCCACCTGAACCGCAAGTACAGCTGCACAAAGCTCAAGCCTAGGAATAGTTAGATCAGGTTTGGGGGCAAGTTTCGCCTTTCCCAAGATGAACCCCACTTCACTCTGTCCTTCTGTATTTGTCACTTTGAGGTATGCAACGGCACCGATTGCCTTGGTGGAGGCGTCACAGAAGACACACACTTCCTTCTTATGAGCTCCAGAGAATGAAAGCGATGTGTACATCCGAGGAATTTTCAAACCCTGAATCTTCCAAGGAGTTCTTCCATCTTAGCCATTCCTCCAGTTTCTCTTTAGGGAGAGGTGCATCCCATTCACAGCCATCAGTCATAAGCTCCCTCAGGATAATACGGCCTTGAATGCTGACGGCTGCTGCGAATCTCAGAGGGTCAAACAAGCTGTTAATGGTTGACAGTACACCACGACGTGTGAAGGGTTTATCACTGGCTGCCACGCGAAAGGCAAACGTGTCTGTAGACAGGTCCCATCCAAGCCCAAGACTATGTTGCATAGGAGGCGAGTCTTGACCGATGTCGAGGTCTTGCAGACCTTTGGCAAGGTCTTCTCCAGGAAAAGCTCTCATGACTTCCGCGTTGTTGGAAGCGATCTTGTGCAGTCTGAGATTTGACTGGGTCAACATTTCTTGAGCCTTTTTCAGGACATCAACGGCCTCCGTAATATTGGAGAATGATTTCAACCCGTTGTCCACGTAGAAGTGCCGTACCACGAACTATCTTGCTGCAGTGCCAAACTCCTTTTCACCCTCCATGGCCGTCCTCTTCAGTCCGTAGATAGCCACAGCTGGTGAGGGACAATTGCCGAACACATGGACTTTTATTCGGAACTCCATAACCTCGTTGTCCAGCTGGTGGTCACGAAACCACAGGAACCGAAGGTAGTCACGATGATCTTGTCTGACTAAGAAGCTGTGGAACATTTGCTGGATGTCTGACATGACTGCAACTGGCTCAGTCCTGAAGCGGATGAGGACCCCAAGTAGATTGTTGTTGAGGTCTGGTCCTCGAAGAAGCACATTGTTAAGAGAAACGTTCTTATACTGTGCACTTGAATCAAAAACAACCCTGATTTGTCCTGGTTTCTGGGGATGGTAGACACCAAAACTTGGTAAGTACCAGCACTCTTGATGCTCGTCCAATGTGGGAGCAGGTTCTGCATGCCCGTTGCTGAAGATTTTCTTCATAAAGTCCACAAAGTGACCCTTCATCTCAGGTTTCTTTGTCAAAGTCCTGCGGAGTGACATGAGACGACTGAGAGCTTGTCCCTGATTGTTAGGAAGATGTTGTCTAGGAGTGCGAAAAGGGAGGGGGGCCACCCAACTGTTGCAATCATCCTTTGTGAAGTCTTTGTCCATTATGTGGAGGAAGGTCTCATCCTCAACTGAGGGTGCAAGTTTGTCGTCATCATCGGAAAGGCTGAACACAAGCCTGCCTAGCTTCTCAGGTGTAGGCCTTTGTTGTTGACCTGTGAAATTCTCTTTCACGTAGATGTTACTCTCTCATGGACGGAAGAAGCTGGGGCGTCCATTTGCCAGGATGCTGGTCTTGAAAGTGTTCACAGTTGGCTTGTGAGTTCCCCCGAGACAGACGTCGCCCACAATGACCCACCCCAAGTCAAGGCGTTGGGCAAAGGGAGCATTGTGTGGCCCATTGCACTGGTTGCGAACTTTGTGAGCACGAATAATGTCTCTACCAAGCAACAGTAGGATTTCAGCTGAAGGGTCGAGTGGTGGGATTTCGACAGCCAACTTCTTCAGATGAGGATGATTGCTTGCAGCCTCCGGAGTAGGAATTTCGTCCCTATTTCCAGGAATGAAGTTGCATTCAATAAGGGTAGGCAGTAGCGAAGGCACTCCTCCGTTAATAGACTCGACAACAAAACCACTGGCTCTTCTCCCAGTGGTTTCTGTTGTGTGGTATAAGGAGAAGCGTTTTCATGAATGCCAAATTTGTCAAAGAAGTCAGATCTTGCTAGTGATAATGGTCATCTAACATCACATACATTTTCTTTTTTCTTTCCGGATATCCTTTAGGATAGATGTTGACCAAAGTTATTTTGGAGCAGGATTTACCTTGGAGGTCTTTCCCACAGACCTCGGTGCAATGAGAGGTGGCTACCTCTGTGGCCTGTTCAACTTGCTCCCCGCCATGCACTGCGGGAGATGTGCTGGGACCAGATGCTCCCCAGTTGGGTGGACCAGCATGAAGAGCTGAGATGTGACGATTACTGACGCACTCTGAGCAGTGGATGTCAGCTTTACAGTCTTTAGCTTGGTGGGTCGTAGAAGCACAGCATTTAAAACATATGAAATGCTCTTTCAGAAAGCTCTTGCGTTGATCAAGCAGCATTCCCCTGAAGCTCTTACACTTTCTGAGGGGGTGTGGTTTTTTGTGGATGGGGCATAGCTCGTCTGGATCCTCGTGAGGCTTGTTTTTAGAGTCAGGGGAGGAGTAGTTCCCTACTTCAGTTTTATTGACTGAATTGCTGTTCTGAGTCCTCCACTGCTTCGCTGGGGGGGTGCTCACTTTTGAGAGATTGAGCGCTGGAGTTTTGGAAAGCAAAGCTTGGATCATTTATCATCTCTGCATGGCTTTGCACAAATTTAACAAAGAAGGAGAAAGGTGGGTAAAGAACCTGATGTTCCTTTTTGTATGTTGAACCTCGAATTATCCATTGGTCCTGGAGGTTATATGGGAGTTTCTCCACAATGGGTGTTACACCTCTAGATGTGTCAAGGAAGCTGAGGCCTGGTAGGTAACCCTCACATTTAGCAGCTTCAACTTCGAGGAGCAGATCTGCGAGTTCCTGCAGCCGCTGAAAGTCCTTGTTCAGGATTTTCGGAAAGTTTTCAAGCCTTGTGAAGAGAGATGCTTCGATGGCCTCTGGAGAGCCGTAACTCTTATCCAACCGTTGCCACGCCATGTTAAGACCAGTCATAGGATAGTTGATATTGACGGCACGAAGTATTTTAACGAGCTGCAGTGACTCCCTGTCGAGCCACCTTGTGAGCAAGTCTAGCTCCTCACTAGGTTTCAAGTTCAAGCCCTCTATGGCATTGCAGAAGCCAGCTTTCCAGGACAGATAATTTTCTGGCTTGTTATCAAACATCTTTAGCCCTGATAAGACGATATCCCGACGTGCCAAGTATGTGGCGAGGTCCGAAATCTCAGAAGGTCTGGGTGTTGTTACATGTGAGGGTGTACTGCCTCTAGGGTAGTTGTATGCAGCGTTAGTGTAATGTGATGGGGAGTGATTCAAAGCGTTGATGTGGGCTTGAGAGGCCAATGGGATCTGGGGCCTTTGTTGATATAAGCTCAGAGGAGCCTGGTGAGAAGGGCTCTGGATGATGTTGGGGGCCTCTGTATGTTGAGGGTATGCTTGCAGTGAAGAAAGAGCTGCTTGCTGTTCTTCGTGATTTGTCTGATGGCCCATTTCGTAGTTTTCCTGATTGTTGTAATGTGCATTGACGTACTCACTGGTGCGTTGCATAGATTGTTGCGCCAATGAGAAGTGGCTAGATTTATTTTGATGTTCTTTAAATTCAATGTCTACAGCTGCTTCAAGCACGTTTGCTGCAGCTGATGCAGCTTCAGCCTCACCCTCTTCTTTAAGAGCATGAAGCGTAGCATCAATGCGTGCTTTCTCTACTTCCATGTCCACTTGACGTTTTGCATAAGCTGCCTTCGTACGCGCAGCTTCAGCCTTTGCACGTGCCTCTGCTGCCAGCATGTTAATACCCAACCGACTGGAGCGTCGTGATGATGAAGAAGTGTTGCTTTGTGATCTAACCTCCATGTTGTGTTGCTCAGTGAGATCTGGGGCGTTCGACATTGTTGCTCTCAGCAGTAATGCAGGGTTTCTAGTCCACGGGATGATCTTGAGGTGAAGTTAATCTTTTCACTCATCTGCCCTCACCATGCGTGTAGATGCATGGCTATGCAGCGAGCTAAACACTCTCCCAAAAATGACCGAGACAGGAGCTGACGTTTGGTATTTTAATAGGAGCGGTGTGAAACTGAAATGATACAAACAAAGACATGTATAAGTATCTAACAACAACAAAATATAATGTACTTTTCCCCAAAAATAAACCAAATGCACTCCAACATCCAGTAAGGGACAATTACTACTCATGCAGCAATTACATACATGGCTTAACTACATATGCTGAATTTAGATAAATGTTACATGAGATGCAAAAATATAAGTAGCACATTATACAAAAATGTTTCCCTAAACAAATGTACTCACAGATTATGCCTTCTCAAGGGTGAAAATAACCGGATGGAGACAGATAGAGTCAGGGACCTGTTCCCCATGCGGCTCTCAAACAAAATGGCAGAACAGAAGCCTAACCCCCAAAACACACCAGGAGCGTCTGCGCCGCGTTACGTTGCGGCTGCGCCACGCTGCGACCTCCTCCTGCGACAACACACACCAGACGCGTTTCAAAACGTTGCGGAAGCGGAGCGTCGTGTGTGCAGCCTCGCAGTTGTTGTTGATTTTGGAATATTTCCTGGACATTTGTACTTCTACAAGTAAGTAGGCTATACGTAGTTAAATGGTTTATGTTTGTGTCTGTTTAAATCTTGTTTATTGTTGTTATTTCCTATTTTGTTGTGTTGTAGACTACAGACACAGTTAATAATAATTGTAATATTCCAGTTATAAACGACATGAATCAAAGATGTGTTGCTGTATTTAGTGGTAAAAAAATATGCATTCATCATCATAATTATTCTATATATATATCATTTACAGTGCCTGTAAACCGGAGGAGAACGCTGGCATGTATTCTCCAACTTGAAAGACTACGGGGGGATGGGGGGAGGAGAAGGAGCCGGTTATGGGTGCACCCCCTCAACCAGCAAAGGAGACAACAAGGTGATTTTCATCACCTCGTGGCTGAGCTGAGGCTGGACAGCCAACAACATCACCAATATTTTCGGATGAGTGCAGAGCAGATGGATGAACTTCTGTCCCTCCTGGGCCCTGAACTGACCAGACAATCCACAAATTTCAGAGCTGCCATAGAACCCAAGCAGAGACTGGCTGTTGCACTGAGTAATACAATTTATAATAAATAGTTTTGTCTGACAAATGACTGCCAAATTATTCTTGTCTGTCCTCACAATTTATCTGACTATAAATGCAAGGTTTTCCACCACAGCATACTGTATTTAAACATTATTGAGAGTATTTTGGGTAGTTGTTATAACACATGAATAAAAACAAATTATAATACAAAAAGATAATATCATTATAAAGAGTTAAACACAACTGTATTGATCCCTGGGCGAAATTCACAAGATAAAGTATAGTTAAAAAACCAATATTTATAAAAATATAAATACAAAATAATAATAATATAATAATCTTGATATAGGAAATAAGATCTTACTTTATTGTGAAATGCAAGTTTACTGAACAGTTTTTTAACGACTTTCACAAGATGTTAAACTACTGAATGGCTCTGTACTGTACCTACAAGTATTAATTAACTTTAAAACATTAATATGTAGTTGTTACCTTCCACTCCACAAACTGCAGCGACTAAAAACCAGGCCTTGTCCTTTCTGATGTTGTCCTTGTAAAAAGCATTGGTTACATGATATAAAATGGTGTGTTTCTCCACTTCCATTATGAACACCTCGTCGCCCATGGTGCGTTTCGTAGTGGAGGTGTTGTGGGGTCTGCTAAATTAGTATATGTGGGGGATGGGCCTGGCCCGGATGCTCACCTTTCCACTTCCTGCGAGGGGGGGGCTGCCTGCCCGACTTTACCTTACGGCTGCGCCGCGGCAAAAATAGGATTCATCCTAATTTTAGAGAAGCGCTGCGCCGAGCCGCTTCTGGGACGCGTCTGAGCCGTAACACGGCGCGTGTGGTGTATGTAATAGCACCCATTGACTAGAGTGGCCGCGATCCTTACGACCGCCGCGGCACGGCCGTAACACGACGCAGACGCTCCTGGTGTGTTTTGGGGGTTACACAGACATTTTACTAGGAACGCACTTGCCTGTGCCTAGAGGCCACTAAAGATATAGCAGTCAAGGAGATAGATGTCAGTCATTAGAATGACAGAACAGAGCGCATTGCCCTGGATATCAAGAGGCCACTGAATGAGACAGCACAAACTGGATATGGGTCAAGCCCAGCCTTTGAAATGGATCCTGCACACCCTACCCTGGGTCTATCTCAACTGTTCGCCGGAGTCGGCACCGTCGGCAGCGACTCCTCAATTAGTTGAAACTTGAAGAGAGCAGGTTTAATACCACATGCTGTGATTAAAGCTGTTTTTCTTTCTTTGGTATATGCAATTAAAGGTAATATTTTGAGTAATAGAGAATTTCAGTTTTCAGACTTGCTTTTTCCGGGTTTCTTTATGCTCCATTGTGATATATGAACAAATGCTATATAATATACACCATATAGACAAAAGTATTGGGACACCCCTCTGAATCATTGAATTCAGTTTCATTCAGTCCCATTGCCACAGGTGTATAAAATCAAGCAGTCTGCCTTTACAAACATTTGTGAAAGAATAGGTTGTTCGAAAGAGCTCACTGATTTCTAACGTGGTACTGTAATAGCGGGCCCGGCGCCACGAGGGGGCAAAAGGGGGCATTGCCCCCTCAGTTGTATTCTTTGCCCCCTCACTTTGAGCATCATTCATCCATCAAAAAGTACAATAAATGTTACAATTATTAAATAACTTCAAATAATTATTTTCCCCAATACACGTTACTATGTTTAGATCAGATATGTGGGCAGGCAGTCAAGCAACGTGTACAAAAAGCCTCAACCCCAAGTGAGCTTGTAGTCTTAATGTTAGCGTGTGTGCTTAGCTGTAAACACAGCACACAACCCATATCGTGTGGGTGACCAAAACGTCCCCGTTTTCCGGGTAGAGTCCCCGTTTTCGGTGGCCGGTACCCGGTTGAAACTCCCGAAAATGTTCCCGTTTTTGAATGTGCGTTAAAAAACATAGAGCAAGTTGAAATAAATTACATGTCAGTAAAAACAGAGTGTAGTGTTGTCACGATACCAACATTTTGGTTTCGATACCGATACCAAGTCAAGAATTGCGATTCCGATTCTTTTTCGATACTTTTCTAAAAAAAAGGGAAACAGTCTTAAATGTAATTATTGTGCTTTATTTCACACCAGAACCATAACCATAATACAAACTTTTAAACAATGAGAACAATAAACAAAATAAATGACAAGAATTCGTATTAAATAAAATTAAGCATCATCTCAAACAACTTTTTTGTTTTATAAAATATTTTTTTAATAATATAATAGTACAGTAATATAAATTATTATTGACAAAATGTATATTGCAGATGTTAGCCACATTGGTAAGTTAGCTAAAAAGATAGCCATATTAGACAGTTATCATTGCCATTAATTGCCTCGTCAAACTACGAAAACGTTCGTTTGTCACAAAATAAATTACACTTGTTTGACTTAGATTTGAGGGCATGGGCTTGAGCATGATGTAATTATGTTATCTATCACATTCACTAACCTGTCTGTCTTTAAATTCTTTAAACAGCTCTGGATGCCGGTGTTGCAGTATTACGTGAGTCATGACAACTGGCGACATTCTATTATTTTCGTCATAGGAATCGGGGGCGTGTACATTGAGGACCCATTGTTGACTTACCATGTTGATCGCCTCGTTTGTCGTTTACGTTCATCTTTTGCTATATCTGCCTTCCTAAGATCACTTTGATGCACATTCAGTACTCGTATGTGAGGTTGTGGGTGAGAGGTGGATATCGTGACGCTTACAGGGAGGTATCGAACATTACAAAGTAGGTGACTGTGTGGATGCCTGTTCAAAATATTGCAAACTTGAATAAATCATTTAAATTATATATTTGTGTCCGACTTTCATTTGTACATCGTTATTAATGTGATCTATAGTAGCTTTGATAGCTGTCCATACCTTCAGACAGCCTAAAAGTAAAACACAAGTCGTTTATTCACAGCCCGAACGCTCATCGACATGACTGGATCACTCATGACAAGTTGTGATCAGCTCCGATTAAATTGTGATATAAATGCTGTAGCTATTCTCCAGGGAGCACGTTTTTTTAATGAAATACCTGTATCCCTCTCATCACAACAAGACTCTACACTGTGCAGGAAAAACAATTACATACATGAAAATAACCTTGATGCATGGGAATGAAACACACAAACTATCTTCCGTGGCTATACTGATATGTCACAGAACGGTAAACTACAGAAAAGTAAGTCCAGCGGGGCACACGTTGAATACATATAATACAGTAGTTCTATTATGCCTTTAAGCCTATACGTTTAACCCATAAAAACCCGGACCCATTTCTACTTTTGGGGAAATTAAGGGGAACGTCATTTAGGCTAAATAGACCTAGAACACATTTCTGACAAGTAACCCCCCCCTAGTGTCAAATATCTGAAATGTGACATATGTGTCACATTGGGCTTTAATGGTAAAGTAACTCTTATTTATAACTTCATGAATGAGGATGATTTTTTGGTTTCCATTTGTTTGAACATACTTTAAATTGAATAATAAAGAATATGTTAACTAAATATAATTGAATCAGCTAAATTAACTGAGCAGATCATAATCATATTTGTAATTGTGCATATATGTCACTCCGGGTTTACTGTGAATGTTTAGGGTTAATGTCCCGATGTGACATCAGTGTCACAGCAATATTTATGGCATTTGTTTCATACCAATTTCATCAATAAATGTTTCTACAACAGGTTATATGTAATCAGAATCAGAAAAGAGCCGAAGACAGCTTAATGTTTAACAAATGACATGTCATGTAAGCATTTTTATTCTTAAATGGCTTGAATGTTAACTTTAGCAACAAAAAACCTTTCCAAATGTAGCTAGTTCTGTCACATGTGTTAGCCTGGCACATGGACATCTTGGACATGTTGTTATGGGAACACAAAAGCAAATGACAAGGACCATAACCCACCAGACTGTTCAGTGTGTGTCACTGAGGGACTTCATGAGATAAAAAAGGCTAAAGCTGTATAAGGAACTTTCCAGAACATTTAAAGTTCATGTGACACCTGTGTCTAAGCAATTCTGTCTGCCTTCCGTGTTGCACCATGAGGACCCACTGATATAAAATGTTTAACTGTCTAAGTTGCAACCATGCACTTTTTGGAGGGCTAAGCGCCAGCTTGACATATTTTTCGCTTCATTTATAGAAGGAAAGACAACAGTGATAGTTATGTTTCAGAATAACATTTATTGGAAATTGTTAGAACAATCTCACTGGTCACCTGGCTTGAGCTTCAATCTCAGGATCCATGTATTTGTGATCAAAAGTAGGCTAATATAAAAGTAGTGTAGATCATTAAATTTCAGAGACAGTAATATTGTAATGTAACGTAGCCTATTA